TAAGAATCTTCAGTAGTGAATATGTGGGTGCTATGTCCAGTTGAGCACGAGGTACTGGAGAGAGAAGTGGGAAGACTACGAGCTTTGTATCAGCAACAGCAGCAGCCACAACAGCTGCAGCAATCTTCTAGCCATCGACGTGCCAAAAGCAATGATTTTGATCAACAATTTGCTAATCTTTCACTGAAACACAAGGAAGCAAGTGGTGGCCACATTCAGGTTTCTGGCCAACGTCACATTTGAGTATATAGCCAGAGCTTCAACTGAGCCCTCACTGATTCCTCAGTTGACGGTGCCTCACGGTTTCCTTTGTTTGGTAGGATCAAGCCAGACTCGTCCAGTGCTTGTGCTCTACCCCATCCTGCTTTGTTTACTTTGCTCTACTGCCTTAATTTTCTCTCTGTTGGTTTTGTTGAAGTCATTTTTTCCGATAAATTAGTGTCTCCATGTGCACCTGGTAGTCTGTGCTAGAAAATAGTATTTGTGGCAGGCGACTCTCCTGAGGTGGTTCTCCAGACATAATCAATGTTAGCATTATTGTATTTCTAGTGATAAGTTCGTCATCGCTTGTCTACAATTTCATGCTTTAGCGATTCTCAAACTGTTGATTTCATGAGTATTTACTGACGAATGTGTTTTACAATCATACAATAGGACAACTGTTTTAGCAATGGAATTTTCAACGTGTTCTGATGGAAATTTGGATAATGTACTTCAAAGAACTTAAAATTGTTGCATGCTAATGCCTTTATCAGATTCGAGTTTCTTAACAAAATTGTGGCTGTGGCATTCAATGCTATTTTCTCTTGTAAGCTTTAGTAGCAAATACAAGTGAAGGATAAAAATACGCACGGCTTACGGAAGTTTTGGCAGATTCTAATGTTGGTCACTTAACTTATGGTGCTAGTTATAGTTGAGGACGCTGAATTCAAATTTGAGCAGTGCTATTTGTACATAAATGTATATAGATTGATTTATTTATTGATGATGTGGAAGAGAGGGAGAAAAAAATAAGACAGAATTAAATGCAGTTAGTTAATACTATTCACATCATCAATTTGTAAGCTAATATGTACATCATTATGTAAAAATAGCATTACTCATTTGGTCTATATCCTTTACCTCAACAAAAAAGTTGACACAACAGTCTAACTAGTAAAAATGTATCAGAGATGGAAAAATGATACCCTTGTTGCCAAATCAATATGGCAAGCAAAGTGAATACTAATCTGCAATCTATTTTAATGAGGATCATCTATTATATATATTTGAAGGAAAAATTACATTACAGTAACTTGGAGCAGCAATAATGAAAGAATTATACAGGAGACTGCCGGTGCATAAGACTGTGCAGCATTTGGAAGCCTGGGGTAATCTTGCGGTGAGGGCAATACACATTGTTCACCATTGAATGATATCTTTCTGGGAAATGCCCACCCTTCTCTGAAACTGAAAATCCCTGGATCTTTGTGCAGTATCATTTCTGTCTGCACATTTCCATTTACTCCTGCCTGCAGCAGCATGTCATTGTAATGTTGAATCCCATAAAACACTCCAGTATCATCTGAAGATACAAAGTGTTATTGATATTAACGCATAATTGATGTTAAGCGAGTATATTAGTACAAACGAAATGAACTTACTTATATCGCCATATTGGTTGAGGGGCTTATAGTTGAAACTGAAAACCCGCGTAACGCTTTGGAGATTAGGGTGTAAAACCACCAAGTTCCACTGACTGTAATTCTTGACGTAATTTAGATTTGTCACTGTAATTTTGACTCTCCAGTACTCTCTGTAACTTTGCATCACATGCCAGTGCACTCTTATAGGGCACATATCATCACTACATTGCAACACTGGTTCTGGTGGTTCATTGTGCGGTAGCTGCAATACTGGTGGCAGATCCCCAGCCCTATAACCACAGACAGTTAAATAAGAAAAATCGAGACTAAGCTTAAACAATTTCGTTTTTTTTCAATAACTTTGAAACTTACTTTACACATTTTGCACCAGTTTGGCAAGCGCAGCTGCAGTCTTGGCATGGAATTATGGTATCATTGTAGAATGCTGAGAACGAAACACAGCATGTTGGTGCCACAGAAGCTCTAAACTGGGAATAAGAGCACGTCACATTCCAAGTCGCTGCAATAAGTCCACATACATATAAAGAATACTATCAGTGTTGTACAATACGTTTTTATCATACGAGCTATACATGTGAATATCTGGGCTTACCAAGAGCTTGTGTCCTTCTACGTCCTTGATCTTCGGAAAATTTAGATGGAGGGACTTGAAATGGTTCTCCACAAGTATATCCTTGGAGTCCAAGAGTGAAATTTACAGGAATTCCGGGGCCAGAACCTTTTGTATCAGAACTTCCAACACTCATCTGAAAAGCAGAGATATATTTTTTTGGGTCTTGAGTCATGGACGAAACTACTCCACCTTTGCAGCAATTCGCAACCTGCTTATTGTATGGGGTTCCAGGCAAAAGGTCTATTATAACTGGTTCCTTTTCACAGCAATGGGGAAGTTTTCCTCC